GCTGCTCTCGAGATTAGAACACATTGAAGGTTTTGTTACATCAAGGCATTACTGCTTGTGCCTGTCATCTCCAGGCTTGAGCCAAGCAGGAGCAAATTATCCATTTCACAACTACCTAGAAATAAAAGGAGTTTAATTTAAACTAAAGATTCAGTGCAGGAGCAAGTGCTGACTGAGTAATTGCACAAAATGATTCATCTCATGAACGATTTCCCAAGTTGGATGCACTTAGTCTTGAATTCCTGTCTGTAGGCACAGTCACAATTCAATTATAAGGTCAGCTCGCATAGCAAGTTTTAAAATTAAAGTCATCTCTGGTTGCTCAGAATATCAACCAAAAAAGCCCATGGAAGTGGCTCATCTATTGCAGCATTTCACTTCTGAAGTGGGAAGAAAGCCAACACACCGAAGAAACTCAAAATTCCTTGTGTAATTCCTGGCTCATTTGTAAATACAAGAATGTTACTGAAATTACATAAAAAGAGATGTCAACTTCTAAGCAATTAAGCCTTGAGAGGAGCTGTTCACTGTAAACATCATTCCTAATTAAGTGTCCTACCTTGAGGCTGAACAATAAACAGGGATCCAGTCACATTTTGACACAGAGAAGGACAAAGGTCAGTAAAGAACTAAAACTTTTCCAACAATAAAAAAAGTTTAAAATGCAGTTTCTTAAACTAAACTGTGTTAAGTTCAACTGAGCTTTCTCAGTAAGTACTTGCTACTGATGCCATTCAGAGCTGGCCAAGCAAGGTGCAATAATTTCAATCATGACAACTCCCACCCCCAAATCACACAGGTTTAATATAAAGAGATGGAATACTAAAGTGAGGGGAAGGAGTTGAACTACTGCAAAACAAGTTCAGCTGACAGAAGTATTTATCATTTTACTTCAAATTCAAAAATAATGAGGCAGGAGACTGTTTCAGCATGACAGATTTCAGTTTTTTCTACTTTGTTTCTTGCTTCTCTTTGCCTGCACTCAGCCATGAAGACACTGCATGTGATACTCCTGGAGGTGTACAAGCAATCTGGATGTTAATGGTATTGTCACCTGAGTATTTATATTCCACCTGCCTGAATGGACCAAGTGAAACCCCAGAATTCTCAATGAAACCATAAATGGATCTATAAATCCTTCACATGACATTCACCAAGCTGCCAGTTCTGCTGGGATCATCATCCTGCACTTGGTAACTCGTTAAAAGGCCTTGGGGACCCTTCTGGGAAGTCCAGATGTAATGAAAATACCAAGAACACTAATGGCACATTGATCAGGTTCCATCTGCTCTTCACAACAGAGAACACCAACCATCACTCCCAAGTTTTTCAGTCTCAGAACAATTTTTCCCTCTTCCATTTGAAGATTTAATAGACCTTTAAAAGAAAAAATTGTCTTATTTTAGTTTCAATTCTTTTCTTCCATATCTGGGGGTGGATATGCCCCCAAGGGAGGACTTAAATCAAGATTAACTACAAATATAGATCAATAAGGTGTTTTCAAGAGAGAAGTATTGCACCTGTAGGCAGTTCTGGCTTCTCCAACACCAAGTGCTCTCTTCCCGTCTTACGCTGTTTCCGATAAACCTTCTCTGCAACAGGATTAAAGGCAGGCCTAAAATATCAGTGCTAATTTGGTGCTCATCAAGATGTCCTCAGGGAAACAGGATAAAAAGGAGACACTAAGCATAATTATACAAGACTAATATTAATAGGCAAGCTGGGCTTTAGCAACAAAAAGTCAAAAAGCTTTTCTTAAATATTTCTTCCGAAGCACTTGTGCGTCACTGAATAAAGAGGAACAATAAAACAAAGCCATACTTCCTCTAGAAATCCAGTGGGAAAATTGGAAGGGAAGAGGGAAAAGAGAAAGTCAGCTGTGGAAAAAGCAGTAGAGAAAAATTTATGAGTGCTGCTTTTGCACAATCAAGTCTCCTTTGCTGGTAAAATACTGTCACAGACTTATTAGCCCTAGAAAATTTGTTTTCATAAAGAATATCCTAGTCTGTGGCAAATTTTTATGGCCCATAACTTTTAGCAGGACTGAAGAACAGTAGCAAGGCTTGCAAATTGTATAACCAAACAGAATTAAGGTCAACATGGTCACAGGGATTAGGAAAGCAATTCCTTATGATCATGTCAGCTGTTCAGCAATGCTCTGTGGGGCCAGCCCCAGCTCTACCCCACTGCTGGGCTTCTTTTCACTCCATCACCCCTGGGATATGTGTACTCCCTGCTTCACCTTCTCCTCAGGGAAATGAAGGGAAAGGGCAGGAGAAATCCACTAAACCACCTGTGAAGTAACACCCTACTACCACAGCACTTTGAAAAATAATTACTGGGGGAAAGAGAGGGGAAATCCAGTCTGGAAAGCTGAATTGCAGGTTATTATCTTCTGCGGTCAGGCACTGGGTAATGAGTCTTTTCCTGAAGAGAAATCCTGCCTGGCATAGCTAGAATGCAGCCAAGCCTTGCTTGTGTCAAACAAGAGTACCTCCAACTTCATCTTTAATGCAACTGCTACAGCAAAGGCAGCAGATCCAGCACTACCTGAGTTCTGCTTTTCCCTGCAGAACTAGCCCCAAATCCCTGTTGCCTCCCAGCTGCCCCACCACTGACCCATCCATCTGCAACACTCAGCCATGGAGCACAATTCTGCACCTCCCTCTCCTTGTGGCAGCTCCCCAAAGTCATCCTGTGTCCCTGGGGAATCTATTCCCCACAGACTGGGTGCTCAGAGCTGCTCTGTGTGTCAGAGCTCTTCCCCCAGCCTCTGCCCTCTGTGTTTGGCAAGCACTGACCCACATTCCCAGCCCATTCTTCCCTCCCCAGAGGGCACAGGGAGGGCTGACCTAGGCAGCCAGAGGGGCACGAGGTCCCCCCAAACAGGAAATTCTTCAGGGGGCCAAGAACAGAGCAGGGTTTGATGGTTGGCAGTCAGCAGTGCTTCCACCCAGACTTTTCCCACCACAGCACACATGGAGAACTGCAGGAATCGGTTTGTATCCCTAGTTTAGGAAAATTCAGAGTGTTCCAGCAATGTTTAAGACAAGAAATAACTATGGAGATGCACATGCACCAGTTCTGCTGACTAGAAAGTAATTTCATAATCTAAATAAAAATCTCCATTTTCTTATTTAAGCACAAATATTAAACATACAAAACCTCAGCAAAGCAGAAACTGGAAGCTGAGCTGTGACTATCCATGCTCTGAATTACAGGCATGAAACCACTAAGAAACTGAGTAACACTTTACTCACTGTGCCCAATTCTCAGCACAGAAAAATTGTGGTTTAAGAAATCAGGTTGCTCAGAGTCACAGCTCAGGTCCAGCTATCCTGTTAATCACAGTAAACAGCTCACAAACACCTGGAAATGAGAAGTTTGTGATTAGCTGCAAGGAAAGTAAACATGATTATGCTGCACAAAATACCACTGAACAGGCCAGGAAAATCCAACCAACCACCTTCATTAATCTAAATTAGTGGCCAGGATATTTCTATTAGGGGAAGGTCATATTCTACAAAGGAATTGCATTCCTATGGTTTCAATTTCAGGTTTGAATCCTAATAATTAAACTTCAGACATCAAATACTGGAAACACAGCAGTCATTCATATCAAAAGAAACCTATGGATATGCTGTAACAGCAGAAGCATGACTTGCAATAATACTGGAAAAACTCCTCTCCCCAGCCCTCTGCCATCCCAGCTCTATCTCCCACAGCAGCTACGTGCACAGACACAGACAGGAACTGCAGAACAACACTTTTATAAGTATGTGTCAGGAACTTATCAGCAAAAGCATCCTGGCCAAGGATTCTGCTGCAAATAAATGCATGCAGAGACCTCTGATAATTAATCTGAAGCATTTTGATTAACCCAGCTAGTTCTTGGTTAGAGACATATTTCTACCACCCAAAACTTTCTGACACGTATTTTCTGTTTCACTAAAGACTGAATGCCAGCTAAAGCACAAGGCAGAGTTAGGAGATTAAAGACATTTTGCACATTGTGTTAAATACTTGATAGGGAAAGCCTATCCTCACCAAACCCTGGGCACACTCAGTAGCTGACCTTGTGGTTCCACTGATAACCAGAAAACAAATGGAATAATGTAATAATCTGCTACTGTTAAGACAAATATTATTTGGTACTCAACAACTACAAAACCTTGGTTGTTGTAATTGCAATTTTATTTCTATGGAGACAAAGCCAGTTCCCTGCAGTGTGTCTCTGCATCAGGGCCCTCCCCAAGGCCCTGGAAGCACAGAAGCAGCAGGGTCAGTGCCAGAGCTCCCCACTCCACCTGACACAAACACTCACTGCTCACCCTCACCAGCACTAATGCCTGTCCTGGAGTTTTTATTTATCCCTGCCATGGAGCTGTGCAGACAAACCATCAATGGGAAATTCATTAACTCCTGCAAAGGCTTCCTAAAATAACCAGGGAGGGGCTCCATACAGGTGGAAGAACACAGAAACACAGATTTAGTTACCCTTACACAAGTTATTCCCTAAATAATGGATCCCATTGCATGGGTTTCATCTATTCTTATTCCAAGTTATGCCTTCATTTGTTCAAATGAGAACTCAGACTATCAAAATCCAAAAGAAAGCAAGCAGAGAGATTTGATACAAAATAGAAACCTTCATGCATCAGAAGGAAAAGAGGACTGTAACCAAACATACACCACCACCTGCATTTTTTTTATTTCATCTTCCAAAAATAGTAACGTATGTCCATGCAGCAAGATCTCCAGAGACACAAATCTGTACCAGCAGGGTATGTGAGCAAATATATGGAGCACCTAGAGTGTGGTAACTGCTGACATTGACTTACTTTATTAGAGGACATTTGTCTCAAGAACATTTCAGTGTATTCTTGAGATCATTTCAAGAGGTGCTTTCAGATTGGGAAGCACTTAATCACAATCCACTTGAGACTGCTACAATAAACTCCTTAAAATAAATCTTAAGGTTTGCTCTGTTATTATTCCACATGGACTTAGGAGGGGTCCTCTGACCTGGGCTGTTAGAGGCTGTTGTTCTGGTCAAGAAGTCAGTTTCTTTCACAAACACACATGAAAACAGAGCCCCAAATATCCACTGGGAAAGCAGAACAACTCTTGGTGGCCCCAATTTGCTGCCTGTCCCTGCATCACCCCACACTGCTGGCACAGTTCTCCTGAGGTGAAAGGACACTCAGCAACCTGTAGTTGATTATTAAGCACCCCTAAAGACAAAGTCACAATTCAAGAAACAAAGACTTGTGTGATGTATTTAAGGATATCAAATGTCTAAAAAAGAAGTTAACATTTAAGTGGTTGGTGAACCTGGTAGCAGAAAGAGCTTTCCCTCAGTTTGTGTGAAGTAGGTCAGCCAGCTTTTCCCCTCCTTCCAGTCCATCCTCAGCTACGGCACAAGCCACAGCAAGGTGTGCACACCTGGCTCTTGGTTCCACACACCTGTCTGGATACAACATGCTGCTGTCCCCACATATTTAACAGCCCCCTAAATATGAGCCAGTATTGAATAGAATGAGCTATGCTTCCCAAATACTGTGTCAGAAATGCAACTGTGCAAGTTCAGCAGCTCATTTCAACAAATTCGTAGTACATCAGATTCAGTTCTCATGTTTGTCCAGCACAGCCTTAAAGCCAAAATCAAACCATGAGCCCTCCATAAACACACTCTATTCTACTACAGACATACATCAATTAGGAGGAAAAAAAAAAAAAAAAAAAAAAAAAAAAGAAATTCCTCTAGGTTAAGTATTTCCCTGACCTCTTTTTCAACTCAAACACACCATTGTTCTATTGTCACCTCAGATTATTTGTCAGCTGCCAAAACGCCAACATCCTTATAGCACTGCCTTTTGAATCTCACTCTTCTACTCCTCCTTCATCCTGAGCCAGTGCACAACATCTTTTGACATCCAACTTGGCTCTTCAAGTATTTCTGACACAACTTCCAGAGCACCAATGGCCTGGCACAGCTGTGCTGGTGTCACTTTGCTGCTGTGCCTCAGCAAACACATTTCTTTCCCCCCCTCTTTAAAATTCTGATTCCACATGGCTGGATAAGAAAAGCCCAAGCTGCAGGCACACTGAGGAGTGGCCAGGTAGCTGTTAAATCCCAGTGTCAGCTCCTTACCTTGCAGCATGCACCTGTAGGCAGACTCGGATATGGCGTAAATGTGCGGTGGCATCTCGTGGCGCTTCTTCCCTCTGTACATCTCAATAATGTTCTCTGAATAAATTGGGAGGTTCTTGTAAGGATTTATGACTACACAGAACAGCCCTGAATAGGTCTGGAAAAAAAAAAATAGCAAACATTTCTGTTAGTAAACAGTATTGAAATAAAGTCGTAAAGAACAGAAAGCCTTTTCACAGGTTCTATAATATTTATCTTAAAACAAAATTGAGGTGCTTTTTGTAGAGCAACTCAAAGTGCATGCTATATTCAAATTATTGGTTTCTAGTTCTCTTAAAAGGCTCTTTAATTACCTGCATAAAAAGTAATTTAAAGATAATAAGTGTAGGTAAATTTGAAGAAGAGTATCTGATCTCTTTCCCACAGACATTTAAATCTCTCTTCCGTTTGCCAAGTTCCAGCTTTATGGACACCTTTTGAAGTTCAACAGTAAAAGGTGTATTCCAAGTTATTTTCATTTTGAAGGAACTGATAATATCCATTGCTCTGGCAAATAATCTAGCTGAGGGAAGAGTCTATTTCAAGCCACCATTATTTCTGCTATCCTGTTATTGTTTCATAACTGTCCATCTGCCTGTCTTTCCTGCTCATCCCTTTTCAATCCCAGAGGGGTCATTCCCTCCCCTGTCCCAGCCCTGCTAGCCCTGCAGATGTTTCACACTCTGCTTTTAGAGCTGACACTCCACTACCAGAACATCAAGGAACCACCTCCAATTGTGCATTGCTGATTTCACTGAGACTTTTCTGTTTAGCCAAAATGCCTCAAGTGTCCCAGGGTTGAGCCCCCACTGAAGCAATGCCCACGGGGCCGCATTTCCCTGTGATCCCAATACCACAGGCTCCTCCTGAGCTCCATCCCTGCTCCCCAGCAGTTCTCCCAAGGCAGTTATGACTGGAACAGCCCTGGCAGAAGAAGGAGCACAGGCAGCCATGGACTCTTGGTTATGAGGGAGGGACAGATGAGCCTGGCCTGGCTCAGGATCAGAGGCTGAGCTCAGACAGACACTGCTCCCTGCACACAGCACAGCTCTCCCAGGGTGTTCCCTATCCAAGGAATCTGCTTGGCTCCAGTCCTTTCAGCAGCAGCCACAACTGAATGCTTTTAAGAAAACAGAATCTCTCCATTCACTGCTATCTCCTCACATGCTTGGACAGTGTGTTCCTTTTGGTCACTACTGACATTCCCATCTTTACCAGCTCAGCAAGTGAGCAAAAGAGACCAGGTTTGGCAGAAATAGGACATATCTTTATGAATGTCAGGAAAACCACATTTCTTACCCTTCCAGGTTGAGGAAAAGAATGGGGAGAATAAGCAGAAAGCATTAACAGAGAGCCCAGAGTAGTGAGCACCCACTCAGGATGTAACATTTGTCCACTTTAAAAGTATTTCTGCTACACTGGTATGAACACAGTAGCTGATAGTCCCAATCTGCCCTTTTTTTCCCCTTTCATAAGTATAAAAGATTTTATTTGGAGGGAAAGGTGCCACCCAGTTCTTTCTACACCTCCACCAGCTTTTGGAAAGACAGGCAGAAGGTGTTCTCTGAACTGAGTCCAGGAGCACCATCAGCAAAGAAAAAGAACTTGGTTTGAAGCCAGATATCCTGACATAGGGACATCTTATGTCCTTGCAGGAAAATGCTCCCTCTGCTTTGGTCAGATCTGCTGCATGATAACTACAGGGCCTTACCACCTAAACAAGGTATTTATTTCTCAAGAGAAAGGAAACAGATCTTATCAGGGCAACTGACCCAAGCATAAAGAACAACTTATCAGTCATTAACTCAACATAACATGGGGCTGTGGGCAAGTGAGCTGCTCCTCCCCAGCCTCCTTTCCTACCACTGTCCCTCTTGCCAGCACCAGTGCTCCTGCCCTCACTGACTGACCTGGATACTCCTGCAGACAAATGCAAACAGAACTGGCTGGGAACAGCAGCAGTTCCCTGCCCAGACTCATTCATGGCCACTGATGAGACTGGAAGGGAGGGAAGGCAGAACAGTTATTTTAACAGCTTGGTACAACCATCCAAGGAGCCAATTAACTGCTGAACAGGGACACCCCTTCCCAGGCACCTTCCCTGTGCTCAGCTGAGGTCACCCACATCCATCTGTCACCACCACCAGTGACATGGAGGCTCTGAGAACTGCCACAAGCCTGGCTTCAAATGAGGGCAACCAAAAGAAAGAACATGTTTGCAAAGCCCAGCACAGAAGCATAGCCTAGAACCACAGAGCCACACCTCGCCTGTGCTCCTACAGCAGCCGCAGCTCAGGAGAGAGCTGGTTACTGCTGACTGCAGGGGAGAGCTGGGACTGGGACAGCAATTCCTAGAGGCAGAGTCCACCCCAGAGCTGTCCCAGCACAGCTCTGAGCAATGCCATGGCACACAAGGTGCTGAGGCCAGCAGGACTCAGCCCTCTGTGAGCACTCTGCACACTCACCCAGCAGCATTCTGAGCCTTGCTCTGCTTTTTTCCTCTCAGCTTCAGAGATTTGCAATTTCCCTCCCTGGGCTGCTGTTCCTGACCTAAGCAAGGACAGAACTTCCTAACCAGAGTCTGGTTAAGCTGTAAGGGAATTACTGCAAAAGCCACCTACTTTGGTGACCCTCCTTCAGCAGCAACACCTCCATTTCTCTGCGAGTTCATCCAAAACTTTGACTTTGTTTTGGCGTTTTATGTTCCCAAAGGAAAGCTGTTGTTTTTTCCCCAGAATCACTGCCCCTCCCCAGACATAAATAAATTGATCTGGTAAATAATAAAAAAAAAAAAAAAAAATCTTAAGTGTTGGGATAAAACAGCTCTTTGAAGATGGTCCTTCTCTCCTCTCCCCAGTTGCTTTGGCATCTTCAGTTTATTTCCCCAGCACAGATATGGAGTAAATGTTACTATTTCAGCTACATAAAGAATTAATTACCTAAAAAAACAAGTTTAACAATCCTTCAAACCTCTATTGATAACACCTAACCTGAAGCCTTTCCAGGCTATCTCCTGAAGCAATGGTTGAATGAACCTGTGAACCTCAAAGGACCAGAATAAGCAAAGCCCAACACAACCAAGAGAATGCCAACAAATATCCTGGGCAACTGAAAAGGGTTAATTGAAGAAGGGGCCAAATTAGAAGTTATGAAGCACAAAATCCTACATTTTGACAGTATTTGGGTTGATTTACTTGAAACAAAATTTAAAGGAGAGGCTTATCACAGACCATTCCCTCTGTACCATGACAGCTCTTTGCATGCAGCACCCTGAACTCCAACACCTTGATTTTCCTGAATATGTTACAGAGGTCACTCTTCTGCTGCTTCCCTGCAGAATTTCAAAACGAGACCTTTTTCAAACCAGTACCACCCTGCACAGCCTTAATTTATTCATAGGAAGATGGAACTGAATTTTCCCGATTTCCTGACTGTCATCTATTGCAGAAAGCAATAGATGAACATACTGGTGGGCTGTCTTCATGGCTTGGCAGGCAGAGAAACACAGAAAGGATGCTTTTAATGAGCCAAATGGTACCAAAATCTCTCACAGCTGTTTTATAACTGCAAGTTTCACAGTGCATCACTGAGCCTAAAAAAGCAGGAAAGGGCTTTGAGCATGGAAACCAAACACATGAAAAGCAGAGATTGTTTAAAACCCCTCAAAAAAGCTTCTTGGTGAGCAGCCACAGGAGGAATTATCAGGAATACATACACATCTGGTTAACAAATAGACACCCCACTTAATGAACTCTATCCTGCAGTACTCTGATGGAATTGTCAGGTGGGAATGAGAGCTGGGATCAGCACTGTGAGCTCCAGTAACAGCCCAGTCTGGATGGAGAGCCAGCCTTCATCCATTTTTCAGCTGAC